GAATATCTTTATGGAAAGATGAAGATTTTGCTAAAAAATCTAAAAATGTAACTAAATATAAATCTGAAAATAATTTTATTGGACCATTAAAATATTTGCATAAAAGATTCAAACATGATGAACATATAATACTGCAAAAAAATTTTGATATTCTAGCAATAAACTTGAGCGTTCTACAATACATAATTATTTTGATGGTTTAGTAAGAATTTTTAGCTATTTCAGCAAAACCTTTCTGTGCAATTTATAAAGTCTTTATCAATTTAAAAAGTCAGTATGCCTTTCATTAGATGACTTAAAAAAAATCTAAATAAACCATATTTAAATCATAAATCATTAGATAACCATAACGAAATAATGTCCCATATATGTGGCGCTGTCAGAGAAGCAATATTTTGTCCGTCCAACAATACCTTGTGTTAATATCGTCGGCCAAATTATCGGGCGGACATACTGATCGCATGTGTTTCGTTGCAACTTCATACGTGTACGGGTAAAAATAACGGTATGAGAAAATCTCTCATCACCGAAACTGGTTCCATGGATGCCTCCGAGTGACTTCGATTAAGAGGCGGTCCATACAGCGCGTTAAAATCAACCGCGAAATGATCGTAGAGAACGCCTTCATAAATTTTATCAATGAAACGGTTAGTGTCCCCGTGATTCAAGTGAGGTAATCGCACGTGCGTCGTACTTCTTCGCGACAGGTAATTCACTTCGGTGGCAAACAGTGAAGTGCTCTTACTTATACGGCTGAGAGATAGATGCATTGTGTTGCATCTAGCGTTTCCAGACGAGTGACAGGCGCGTGCTCCGACGCGTGCTACGCACGTGTCTGAACCAGTTTCGCGATGGCTCCTCCAAGAAGGTTCTCGAGGGAGTGTTTATCGTCGTAAATTTCATTTACAAATTGACAATTGCCCGTTCTATTAATTAAATGTTCCTTCTATTTCTCGCGAGTCTTACACGTCAGAGAAGTTTCATTTTTATTTTATTGCGTTTGACAAAATCTGTTTCTGCTTTAAATAGTTTTATACTGAAAAGTCGTGATTACCTTCGATTGAGATTTTAGCCCAGTATTTATAGTCAAATCTTATATTCAAGACCGTTTTAAGTAATGTGTTAAGAAGTTCACAAATTAATCAGAGGGCCGTGCGTATATTAGCGTCTTAAGATTCTTATTTAAGACAGTCTTGAAATAAGAAGGAACTATGAATACCGTCCTTAGTCTTTCTAATCTTGATCGCGATACGCAGCCGGGCCATAAGCGAAATCGATTTAAATCTCGAGACAGCGTGTAATTTACCGTTCGTCTGCGCTGAGCATAAAATAAAAATAAAACCGGAGGAAAAAAACGTCAACAGTAAAAGCTTTCTGTGGAATAAAAATTGCGGGCCTCCTTGAAGATTTGATGAATATAAGGATATTGACATTAACCACCTATTCATGTTGACGTCAGTACTCGGTAATAAATACACACATTCAAATATAGGTATCTACTTTTTTGTATTCGTCTTTGTCCCGAAACTCCAAGGGCGTGAAAGACATCCAAAAACATCCGGCTTTTAAATTTTTTTAACATTTCGTTTCTTTTTTAAAAATTAATTATTTAACAATTCTGCAAAATTTGAAATAATTTCTCTTTTGTGTCTGACTTTATTAATTATATAAATTTTTATGTGCATAAAATTGAAAAAAAAATAAGGAAATAGTAAATTTATATGATTTAATTAGATATAAATAATTATATTGATACGAATTAATTAAATAATTTAATATAAATTTATATAAATTAAATGTGTAGATATAAATTATATTTTAAATAATATTATTTCATAAATAATATTATAAATTATTATATATAAAAGATGTCCCAAAGAAACAAAAATAATTTTTTTCTTGGAAACAGTAATTTCCACTTTGCAGTTACTGTTGAGCCGAAGTTAGTAAGTAAATAAATTATTAATTGAAAGGTTTTCGAGCCGGCGCATTATATCGCGGCGAGAGTCATAAATAAAGCAACGTCACGAGCAACTAACGGCAGCTGACAGCACATCTTGTGCAGGCATGCTGAGGCGCAATTAATCGCACGTTATGAATGAACCAGTGCAATGTCACGGACGATAACCGAGACGATGTTGCGCGCATCCCTTATGGATTGACAGAACGTGCCTGTAAGTGAGGTTAGGCGTCGTTGAGAGGGAGGAAAATACGACGCGAAGTAATCGCCAGTGTACGAACAACCGGAAGTCCGCATCGTTTTCGCGACAAATTGATTCCCTCGCGAGAATCGCGCGAGGCAAGAGAGATATATCTTTTCCTGTGCGAGTCGAGAGAGACTCCGAGAGATCCGCGAGATTAGACATGGAGCTGAGACGAACGCGCATAATTTCGCTGATTTCGCTCGACCACAGGCCGGCCACAATTACCTGCGACTCGTGATAAAAATAAACTGCAATGTCGCGAATTATGACAGCGACGGTGGCCGCGATAGGGTGGTACGAACGCGCGTAGGAGCTTCACGTCTCTCGGTACGTTCTCCTCTCTCTTTCTCTCTTTCTCTCTCGGGCAGAGACGTCTCCCGTTCGGTTATCGCGCGTGAAAAACTCGCACCCGCCACCGGCGGACGCCCGACACGTCTTGGGAATTATGTAACTATTGTTGCACGGCATGTAAATAAAGGCTACTTACCGCTGATCGAGGCGAAAAACGTCAGGATCGCGCGCGCACACACACACGTTACACGTTCCGCGGAGACCGCTCGCGGCGCACTGCCGCGTGATGGCGCTCGTGCGCCGTCGCCATCTTGGATCGATCGTCGCCGGCGTCGACGGCGGGTGGGACACGTGAATTTCTACTTTTCGATCATAGTTGTGATATGATTTTACGAAAATTTTCTGTATTCCTGCAAATATTTCCATAACTTGCTTTTTGACAAAATATGATATAATAAATATGAAATAATAATTATATATAATAAATATGAAAAATATTATATATAATAAATATGAAATAATAATTATAAGTAATCGTAGGATCGATTAATTCGACTGATGGAAATTACTTTTATTATATTTAGCGAAAGTTTTGATTGCATAATATATTCGTCTCTCTACTCTCTAATCTTTGATCTTTTTTTCCACAAGTTAAATAACAAAAAATTAATATTTCTATCCAAACAAATACGACAAAACAATGATGAATAATTTCGATTAATTCGGTTACAACTGTTTACAGTAAATTTTTGATTGTAAAATTCATCGTCCCTAATCTCTAATTTTTTTACAAATTGAATAACAGATTAATATTTTTATGCAAATGGACATGACAATACAGTAATTAATAATTTCAATTAATTCAGCTGACAAAAATGCTTATAGCAAAATCTTTTAATTTATAATACAATTCGTTGTAAAATCTTTTACAACTTTCTTTTCTTCTTCTTCTTGCTTATAGCAAAATCTTTTAATCTTTAATTTCTCTTTTCACTGGCAAATGACAAAAGATTAATATTTTCATTCATTAACGAAATAGTATTATTTATATATATTTATTTATATTATAATAATTTAATTGATAGTTAAATTTACTGTATAGAAATGCAATATAATAATGGTGCAATTGATTGTACAAAACTGAAAATAGCCTAAGATATTTCAAGTTCAATCTTCTCATCTCTACATTCTAATGTTCAGTGATCTTTTAATCTAACATTAATTGTAATTTTAATTACTGATAATGGAGGTCTCATGATGCAAAATAACACGATTCGTTTGATTCTTTGCCATTTAATGTTTTCTTACACATTTAGAACATAAATAACAATAACTGATGCGCGTAATTATATCACGTCGGCCCGTTTGAGGTGAAACATAAAACAGCGAGGTTTTCAAAAGTTCTATACGGTAATAAATAAATAGTGTAAATCTCGGAACGTATCAGCACAATGACACTCTCGCAATTGTCATTAAATTCTTAAACTTAGGAACGTAAATAGTAACAAACGGCGCGCGCACGCAACATTCATATACACGATCATGCAACACGTACAGTCATTTACGGAAATAATATACCTGATACAAGTTCTGAGCGTCGAATGAGTAATAGGAATATAATATTATAAATGCGTGTACATTCACGCGACTGATGAAAAAGTATAAAAACAAATGGAAAATCTAAATGCGAAATACTACTTCCAAACTGACTCATTAACTATTGAGATGTATTCAGACATAAAGAGTTTAATATATATAATTATTTATATATGTATATTTATATATGTATATAATTATTTATATATGTTATTATCAGGGAACAAAAATTTATTTTTTAAAAATAATAAGTTACTCGTTACCGAGTAGAAAAAGTAACAAGTTACCGATTTTGAAAATTACATTACAGTTATCGTTACTTGAAAAAGTAACTTTCTGGTACTTTTTCATTACTTTTTTCAAATTGACGACCAACTACCAACCACAATGAACAAGTGCTTAGGGACTTTCTAGTCTCAAGCACTACGAATGGCTTGTGTTCAATCGTGTGTAAAGTAACTGTAAAATTCGTTATTATTACAGTTTACAAAGAAATTTAACTACATTATCGTTACAGTTATTAAAAAAAGTAACGCAGTTACCAAAGTAAAGTTACCAAAAAAATAATTTGTAACTGTAACTTCGTTACAAATATACAACAAGTTACTTTCATTCCCTGGTTATTATATATATAATTATATATAATTATATTACGTACAACCTGATTTTTATCTATCTTTGTCACCCGTTTTTATTATTTAAATGATATTTAGAGTAATGATTCTTAATTATACATTTCCTTTACATACAATAACTCTCTTATCTGAGTATTATCAGTATTAAATACTCGGTCATTTCTTATAAATAGTACAGAGAATTATATTATTTTACGAATTAAAAGAGATAATTGTATATAATTATAATTAGATATCTTCTGTTACATCGTGCAACGACGTCAAATTCGCTTCTTGATTTGCTTGTGAAAGTTTGATACACAAGCTTATGCGCTCTGTCTACCGTCAATAATTAATTACTAAATTTAGCGATAGAAACGGCTTATCCATTACTTAACACAGATATACCCTCTTGCATCGCAAACTTATCATTGCGCATTAAATGATGTATCTCATTCTCATATCCTACTCTAATCTGCATCAATTCCATATTTCATAAAAATCACAAAACAGCACTGGAAGCTTAGAATGTGTGCGCGTTGCGGCAAATTCCGCAACCTAGAGCAAATTCTTCTCCCGTCGATGGATGCTTTACATGCAATGGACATTCATCTCCTTCCAGTTGTTTAGCCTTAGGACCTTCGGTGAAAAAAACAATAATGGGTTATATTCCTTGAAAAATAATTATCATTGTGAGAATCGGAAAATTTTATGTACCAGCAGGACACATAGGCAGCTCACTCTTCGGGATAGTAGTAACACGTTGGAAATCATCGTGGCAAGGCTTGCAGAAATGTGTTGTTCCGAAGCAGAAGAATACCGCCACCGAACAGCAATATCGGCATTTATACTCAAGAAAGTCTGCTCCATGCTTCGGGCACATTTGTGCCCTTGCTACGTCACTACAACCGCCACATACTAGTTCAGCAGGGTCGAACGATTCTCCGCCTAATTGCGCATCGCAACGTGCCTCACCACCATAATAAGCCTTCTGGCATTTGTAACACACATAATACGCGTATCGTTCCATTGCGTAAGCAGCAGGGTCTTGATAACGACCGCCTGGTGCAAAAGTTCCTTCGGCTCTGCGAAAAAATAAAATAATTTCAATATATTTATGTATAATGGAGATTTTGCGTAAAATTGCATGATAAAATTGAGAAGATATTACTTGTGTAAGCCTTCGTATTCCAAGCGCATTAGCGCCTTCCTTCGTACGTCTTCGTATAGCTCTTTGACACTTGCCAATTGCTCGGACAATGTCGGATGATCCATCGGTATTTTACAGATCGGACACAAAGAGAAACCAAACGTAATTCGTGGTCCCACCCAACGCTTCATCAGGACATGTCGACAACAATGTAGATGGAATACATGGCCGCACTGCAACTGAATCGCTGGTGCGCAAGACAGGGCCTCGGTGAAGCAAATCATGCACATGTCATCAGCGTCCTGTTTCAAATCCGTCCCAGATACGCAACGATGAAGGCAGGGCAAGCAAGTTCTCTCATTCCTAACACCTCCACAAATGTGGCCGCAAGAATGAATCATGTTACACGCATTTTTAGCGTGTTCCTGACAATCATGATCAGCGCAAATATTGCCTATTGCTAGCAAACCTGTATTTCCCGTAGTACCGCAAAATCTACAAATACCAGTAGTGGCGCCAACCGGTTTTCTCGGCGCGCCGTCACGAAATTCTACCAATGCCTTCAATGTTCTACTGTCTGCCAAAGCCAAAATCCAGAATAGCTTTGTTCTGCCACAACCTTCATGAAGATCTACTCGTATCGCTTCTTCTTCTTCCTTACATACTTGTCTAAGATGCGTTCTCGTTTTTCTATGAAGATGTAAAATTCTATCGCATTCCGCGCATAAATTACCACAAACATTACATTGAATAATAGCCGTAGTTTCGTCATCATCGTGATTACTACATGTCGGCTATAAAAAAAAGCAAAGTTAGTTATTCTTATTATACACAATAATTCGAAGATATAATGATAATCTTACTCTTGGTGGCAATTGCTGTCCTTCAGAACCGCTCCATTGACCAGATGATAGTCTTTCTACATGTTCCGAATTCAAAACGCATAAAGAAGCCAGTGCTAACCATAGCGTTGGAGATCGAAGGCATTCTGTAGAATCGCGGCTCTTCTCGTCCAGTCTAGTTAAGTTTAGGATATTTTCTGCTATAGCTGCTTTCGTTACAGATGCCCATTCCTCAGATAATTTATCCTGATAGTAAAAAAACATATTAGTTTAAATATTACAAAACGAATTAATCATAATACTCACCGATGCCATATCCTTCAAAAGTTGAATTATTACTTCTGCCAGCTTACGCGTCATGCAACCCCTTAACCACCATCTCGTTCCAACATAACTTTTCGGATGGATGCTAGTAGCTAATGAAACGGTTTGAAGCGCTTTGCCATTGTTTTCTTTTCCTTTCACTTTGACTTGCACGGTCAATGCTTTTGCAATACAGCTTAAAAATACATCGAGAATTCCGGCGGAATGTTCGTTAAAATCTAAAACATGAGTAAAGCCGCTGTTCGCAGCGGATACGATACTGAAATCAGTAGGCGGTAGTCGTTCGACGTTTATAACGTTCGCTAGTGTTTCGGGTTTAATTTCAGGCAATATTCGTCGTAGAAGAGATGTTACCTAAAACAATATTATGTTGAAAATTGTTTCAAACTTCATTTAACACATTTAATGTTGCAAAGCTAATAGAACATACTTGACGTTGCACTCTTGCTGATCCGGTATGCAATAAACTCAATAGATCTTTTAATAATCCGGTTTGATGCGATAAATAATATTGTCCTACAGAACTACCACTTAGAGCAAGAACCATAGAAAGCATTTCGAAGCAATAAGTATCGGCCGCTTTTGGAAGATCACTATTGTCGCTTAATACGCTGTTAGCAGGTGTCGGCGAACATAAAAGTGTCTCCCATTCTTCTCTCAAGCGTATAGTCTCCTTTCTAATCGCTTGCACAATATGAGTGCATACTTGTTTTTGTAAGTGCGTTAAATTGCTTCTGCTGAACAATATGCCAACCATATGTTCTCGGAGATCGTTACTGTCCTCTAAATCCTCATTAGTACCTTCTGTCGATTCCATCTGTTGTTGCTTTTCTCCTTGTATAAGTTTCCCAAATACCTGTGATACATTATAACATTGCAGAAAACATTACAATAAAAAATAAAATTAAAAATAAGTTTAGAAAGGCTATGAAAACAAGAATGCAAAACTGTAAATAAAGAAAATAAATATAATTATCATGATCTAAAGCAAATAACAGACATCGTTTCGAGCCCGATCGGGTCATCCTCAATGTTACATATAAACATACTTAAATAGAACAGATAAATTAAATTAATGTACTTAAATTAAACGGATCACCTAATAAAATAATACAAAAAACAAATAGCAATCTATAAAATCGCATCATGTCATCATGAATATTACGTCATGAATATTATTCCGATATTACGTCCGCAATAATATAGCGTATATGTTAGAAGTTAGTCAAGATAATAAAAGGCCATATTGGTGTCAAAGTGCGCAAAATATTCACAAGCATCGTAAATTCAAATTCAGGTTAATATATAAAAATAATGAGAACGAAACATTATAATAACACAATATATAATAACACAATATCTAAAGCAATGAAAATGCCAGAGCAATAAGTACAATGATATTGAATATGAAGCAATGAAAGTCGTCTGTAGATTATAAATTAGAATTTATATAGTCAAAGTTACTTTATAATTACAATGTTATAGTGTCCACAAAAAAATTTTCATATCTGTATTAGTACACAATTACTTCTACCAAGAATATTTAATTCGATTCATTGGCAAAAGAATATAAAATTTAAAAGTGGTATTGCGAAGAAACGTCTTTGTCGTCTGGCTGCGAAACACAGAGTGAAGGAATCGTTGAAAAAGTAGAGGATTGGAAATAGTTAGGGAAAAAAAACAAGAGAAAAAACTAAGAGAGAAAAAAAGGTTATATAATAGGAAGATAGGATTCGTGTAATTAAAAAATAAATTGCAAAAAATTATGCGTACTGACCTGAGACGTGATTAGTCGAAACACTTTCAAAGTTTCTGCCTCGCAATTTCTTTGTTGGATAGTCTGTGCACTTAGCTGTTTTCCTATTTTCAGAGATCCTCCTTCGACCTCGCCCAGCAATCTGATTTGACGAACTCGCAAAGAATTATCTGGGCCCTTTAGTTCCATACCCACAACTATATGACGTTGATCTGTGAAGAAAAACATTATAATCAAATTATATTATTATATATAGAGGGACAGAGTCAGCACTTCTTAAAATAAAATACATTTTTTTAAATGCCTTTAATATGCAATCTAATACTAATTATAAATGTTTATATTACCAGTGATTGGGCAATTAATCCAGCCAGCTGATCTACTTTCGATCTCTACATATCTTAGTTTTATCATCTCATCGGCGTTGATACCAGATAAGAAAGTTACACTTGACACTTTGTGCTTATGAATAAATTTTAGATTAGACAAATATTGTTAAATAAAGTAAAAATCTAGTTTTATGAAAAGAACTTACTGTTAAATCACGGCAATTATCTATGTGTACATATAACATTCTAGGTAAGGAATGTGCGCCACAGAGGATTGTAATCACTTTAGTTTTATTACGATCTTCATCTCCAGATTCCCAAAATGTTTCTGTGGAATTGTCTGTTAGACTACCAATCATGGCTTGTCTACTAGAGGCTTTGATCTCAATATTGGAAGTTAAATCTTTCAAAGCTTCCACCCAACTACTCATTTGTTGTGAAATTGTTGATTGATGACTCTCGTGCATACTCATTGTTACATCTTCTTCTTCCTCGGATCGCGATAGGATTTTACTGATGTTACTAAATACGTGACTTCTATGTAAAAACATATGATCTGCTGCCGTAAATCGAATACCCCAGCAACGAATCGCAGCTTGTTGTAACGGAGATCCTGTAAATCAATGTTATTTAATAACATTGATTAAAATTATTATAATACATTTATTAAATATCTTTTAATTTGATAATGACTTACCAAGTGGTGGTAATAACATTAAATCCGCAATTGTTTGCAGTAAAGTATGAAACACAGTAGGTAATGGATTGACGGATTCTCCGGCTATTACTAAATCACTTAAAGGGTGCTCGCTGACGCCAATCATATCCTACAAATTAATCACAATATTAAATAATACATTCGTCTACAAATACTAACAAGTAACAAATAAATTCTTATTAAAAATACTTACATGATCTTCCTTCTTTTCCGTTCTATTGTCATCATCATTCGCATCCGTATTATCAGAAGCAACAACTGGTGTAAGAGATGAAACAAACCACCAAAGTAAATCGTGCAAACAAATTGGTTGCGTTACGCTTCTCAAAAGCCAATTTAACGCTTGCATCGCATAAACTCGACAAGCGGCACGGCGTAACGCTTGCTTCATCGCAAGTTGCAGATGTTGCAGATTGTGTTGCTGAAGAACGAACAACATTACAGGTCTCATGAGAATTTCTATTCGATCGTTACTCGCTATTTCGGTTTGACTAGTAGATACTATAGCAGACTGATCCATTGATGGCACTAATTTCTGCAGTGCAGCGGATGGATAACATAGAAGCGAAGAACCCGCTTCTGAAAAACGACAAGATATATTGTACTAATATTTTTTAAGAAAAATTTATTTTTCCATCTAACGTATTTATAATTATCGTGTAAAATAAAATCGAACCGTTATTCATTTCGCTACTGCTGTTATTTCGTTTTCTCATCATAACGACTCTGCCGTCGTTACTATTTCTAGCCCAAGGTGCACCGGTAGACATAGATACGGATCTATGAAAGGTACTACGATTTTTACTACTTTCATTATCACTATCACTCGTTGGATATTCTGACAATGGCTGGAAGTAAGATAACGATAATTAAATGTTGATTATTAAAAATAGCAAAAAACAAAAATATTTCCTTACCCTGCCGTTTGTATTATTGAATGCACTATTGTTTCCCTCATAATTATTTTGTTGTCCATTTTCACGTCTCAGAGTTTCTTCGTAATACCTTTCATCATGACTCTGCGAATGATGAACACCTAAGGCTTGCAAACATTGGAATGGTCCAGTAGGAGGAAATGGTCCAGTGGCCTCAGGAGGGCTATAATTCTCAGCTACAGACGATAAAGTCTGCGATGGTCGTCTTTGCTGTTTAGGGATATTAAAGCCAGAAGCACTAGCTAAATCCAGTAAAAACATTGCGTTGCTCTTCATAATTATATGAGTTTCGTTTCCGCCAGGACTGTTAATCGGAGACAGAACTTTGCTCGTGCCATTTTTTCTTTTGGAAATTCCGCTTACGAATTTCTTCGCGAATTTATTCTTTCTGGCCTTCAGATACTTATCTCTACACGTGTCGCAGATTAAATACCACGAGCTACCACCGATCCCACCATCACCGCAATTGCCTGCCCACCCCACGCAATAGTTTCCGCCACTGTTGTATCCTTTTCCGCCCGCGTGCCAGCCGCAGCCTGGATGCATCATTTTCATATGATAAGTGACTGGATGTGGAAACATTAAACCACAAAGTTCACAGATAGTCTCCCGTTCAATTCCAGCTAAAACCTCAGATGCATTCGCTCTGCCAATGGGTTTCCATTCTTTCTTCTTCCGGCTGCCTTTCTTCTCACGTTCTTTCATTTTGTCCTCTCTAGGACGTTTCTCTGGTATTGGTCGTTTCACTAGTTTCATCGTTTGTATCTGCGATATGGGACTAGGCAAAATTGATTGTTGTTCGATAGCTTGCAGACAATTAGTACTAAGTTCTTCCCATAAAAAAACTAAGCTCTTTAACGCTGGTGGTAATATCGCGACCGTATGGAACTCAGGCAGAGAACTAAGTTTGCCCGCACTCGCCTGAATTTCTTCCTTGATCGTGTTCTCCTGTTTTTTCCTACTCCTATTGGCATTAGCGTTCGCAGCTGATCGCGTGAGAGTCTCCAACGTGCTGGGCTGAATATGCAAATAATTACCGGCATTTGTCACCTCGACGGAGTGTCTTTGACGTGCTTTTTGCTCCTGTTGCTGCTTATCGCTGGATTGCACGACAGTTTGTCTAGTTACCACTAGCGCACCCTGTTTCGGTAAACTTGGGTGGAACTTGAGAAAACTCGCGCAAGCCATGGCGTCATGTACAATTCCTTCATGCCACAAGAACGCGGCGAAAACAGCTCTCAGACATTCTGCTACGGAAGGACTGATTGCTTCTTTCACCTTGTCTTTACATAAATTTAGAGCACGATTAGGACTGGGACTTTGCTGTGCGTTGGCGGGTGACATAGCACGTTTTGCTCTTGTTTTTACGGCTTTCATGTGATCTCTCCTGTTCATTTTCGGTGAATGTCGCTCGTCCTTTATTCCGGATGAACCGATGTTGAAATGACCCTTCATAGCTGTGGTAGCGCTTTCGGGACTTGTCTGCGTTTGCGCTTGAGACACTTTGCGCGGACTTTCTTGCGTATCCTTTAAAAAATAATATACTTTTCTATTCTTTG